TAAGATAATAGTTATTCTGAAAATGGAATCCCTCAACTTTTTCAGTCTGTCTTAGAGGATCATATCCAGTAATTTCTGCCTCCTTGGATCTTGCTCAGCCAAATCATGAGTGTTCTAGTCATGTCTAAATTGGATTCTTGAATTTGCTGAATTCATGCTGTAGAAATACAGTAACAGGTCTCTAACACCTGTTTTGCATAAAAGTCTGGAAAGGACTGCTTTCACTCAAATTGTAATTTGCTGTTTGGGAAAATAGCATTAGAAACTTGTGACTTATAGCAGAAACAATCAATCTATCATCTTGAAGCCAATGTTGCAGAAATCTTTGCACTAAATAAAGTCAGGGGAAGAAGACCAGTAAAGTCAGTGCCTGTTTTAGTTGAGACTGATGTTTAAATCCACTTCAAAAATGGGACTGACATTTGTACAAGCATACAAATGTCAGACTGTGCTTTTTTAGGCTTGGATCTGTTTAGATTGTTCATGCTCTAAACAGCAGGTTTGAAGTGTTTGTACCTAAATTTGGACAGAAGAGTTTGGGCTCTTTTGAACAGTAGCTAGTATCTTCTCCATAGGAAAAACAAATAAAGAATCCAAACCAACACAACAGTATTTCATTGTGGTTAATCATAAACTTGAGATATTTTTTTAATTAGAAACCTTGGCAGTTTCTGCATAATGCATTCAGTTGGACAGATCAGGATCTATCTGACAGCTGTGATGTTGCAGTATCACACAGAATCTCTTCCCATACAGCACAGGACTTTCTGCCACAGCCAGATGGAAGCTGTAGGGCAAAAGGTTTCAGACTTCATCTTAAGCAGGGTTAAGTTCAGGACATCAGTTTATAGCTTACCATTAAACAGAAACTTCCATTTTGGTAGCTGTGCTAGACTGACCTCAAAACAATGGCACACATCAGCAAAGGTGACTGGTGTGGAGGTTCCTGTACTGATATGCCAGGTTTTTTCTGTGTGGGAACAATGGGTGTGTTTATGTAAATCAGAGTGATATCAAGCTGGTTTTTACACATTGTTTGGAAAGAATTCTTATTTATCTTTTTCTGGAGGATATATCTTGTCCAAAGTTTAGAGGGAGATTATTTTTTTAGTATGTGCAAGCTCTGTTTGGTGTGGTTCTCCCTCCTGCTACTCAGTATTTCTAATGCAAAGCCAGATCTGCATTCCCACATACCCCTGAAACAGGCAGGGCTGTGGAGCAGGGCCTCTCCCAGAGGCACAACACATGGCAGTGCTTTGTTGTAGGCTCAATGCACTCATTGTAACTCACAGGTCCTGTGGTGGGAAGGTCACTCTTTACTCCATGGCTAGACACACATTGTGCCTGCTAAATGCTGCTGTAGTATTTCATCGCAGTGGCAACCCAGACAATGGGTCATGCCTTGCATTAATGGGTAGGATCTTGAAAAATCAATATAATTCAAATAACAGGGGACTGCTGCCCAGCCATTTACTGTTCCCAGGTCTCACAGAGCAGCAATGGCTGTGCCATTAAGCTGCCACTGAGCACACAGAAAGTACAGTGTGCTTGCTGCTAACTCATACCAATAAATCCAGAATCATGCACGGGTACGTGTTACTGCAAATATGAACGGTTCCCTTCCTCCAGACATCTCTTCAGAATATTTTTTCTAATACAAATATAAACATCAAATTCCTCAAAGGAAGGCCAGTTTCTGAGTAAATTTTTGTGTCCAAGCAACTGTATCTCTTTTGCTGAGGGCCTGCTCTAACAACCATTAGAATCAATAGAAAGGCTAATTTATTTTAAAGGCTTTGGATAAAGCACCTAAGGCCACAACCTGCCCTACTGCAGCCACCTGAAAATTTATTGTTGACCTCAGTGAGTGCAGGATTAAATACCTGGGCTCTTGCTCAGCAGATATTTGAGTCCACACACACAATTCATTTCATTATAAACCATTCATATGCTTAAGTACTTGTCAGATATGGAACAAAAGTGTGATGGTTGCCAGGCTGAGAAAGAGAGTAGCTTTCAGAACTGCCTTTCTCCTGCCAACAGCAATGATATTTGAGAGAAAGAATAAGCAAGTTCATTGTTTCCACCATTTTGTTATAAGAGAGAATTAAGAAATAAGTGAAATGAAAATGGAAGAATTCGAGAGCAACACTACAGGAAGAAGAGAGCTTATATTCCTTCAATTACTTCGCAGGGGACTTTCAAAAATATAAACAGTGACTTTTTATCGTCATTAGGAGTCTGTGTCTCAAATAAAACCCAAGCTTTCCTAGGGCTTGCCTACACTGGAAAAATACATTATGTTAATTGATTAACATTTAATGTTTAATATAACAGTCAGTACAAACAAAGACAAAGGCTTTGACATTCTTTGTTGTTGTTGACCCAAGGTAACCCAGCTGCCAAACATGACAGTTCTTGTCTACACTAAGAGGTTTGTATCACCTTAATTAACGTGTTCTAACACAATGTAATTTTGCAATACAGACTAGTCCTTTGGGGCATTTATTCTGTACATTTAATTTTCTGTCTCGCCTATCTTGAATTTGCAGATATGTGCTGCTTCTCCCCTCCCCCTTCCTGCAGCAACTATCACTGAAAACTGAAGAGACTTTGTAAGCATTCTCATTTCTTGCTCAACTTATAAACTGAAACTCAATCAAATATACTATTTGTTTATGTCCCTTGTCCCTTGATTAGTGCTGATGTTATAAAAAGAAAGTTGATCTTTTAGTTCAGAAATGGCTAGTTCTGCATGGAAAAGTATCATCAAATGCTAGCTAATTGAAGCTTTTGCAAAAATATTGCAGATTGTACAGCTAGGCAGCCTCTTGGTGAACTCACACCACCTATTCCCAGCCACAGGAAGGCCCTTTGCAGCATTTTTCCAAAGTCTACTTTACTTTGTTTTACATAGAGAAGCTTTGTCCTTACCAGAAAATGAAGGGGAAAAAAAAAGAGAAAGCAAAAAAGTAGACAAAAAAGATATCATTAAACATTGAGGTTAAAAGATCAAGTTTATCTGGACTCTAGCAACCAACACACTTGTGCACACATAGTATTTTATTACAAAATGCTATTATTTTGTAATAAACCAAGTTCCACAGCACAACTGAAACTGTGAAATATCCTAAATTGGTAGGACATGTTGCATGTAAAATGCTGTTTGCCAACATATCACTGATTCATTTCAGCATCTTCTGAAGGACACAGATCTCTGCCCATCCAGCACTCACTGCAGTCTGAAGTGACTACTAACTTTCTGATATACCCAGTTATATTAAGTGGCTGAAGGTGTGCAGCACAACCATACCAGCTCTCCTGGACTGTAATTTCACTGTCTGGAAATTCCTTTCTGAGAAAAGAGCAGCTAAAACGAAAAGTGCTGCATTTACATTCATTGCCTCTTCTATCTTCTTCCTAAAAAGATGGAGTAAGTGATCTAGTGCATGAGTTCTCTAGGGCTTCACAGCCCAGCTAAGGTGCTTCAGCCTAATAAATGTTGAGAGATGTAACTCTTCTCCTATACTCTGCTCCCCTAAGACCCCACTTGGAGTCCTGGATCTAATCCTCAGGAAGGACATGGACCTCACTACAAGAGAGATATGAAGTTCCTGGAGGTCTAGCAGAAAGCTACAAAGGTGGTCAAGGGGCTGGAGCATCCTTCTTACTAAGAAAGGCTGAGAATTGGCCTGTTCAGCCCCAAAAGGAGGCACCTGAGAGGGGACCTCACCAATGTCCATCAGTCTTTGAAGGGAGGGTGACAAGAGGATGGACCAGGCTCTTCATGGTGGTGCCCAGCAATTGTACAAGAGGCAACGGGCAGAAACTGATGCACAGAAGTTCCACCTGAACATGAGGAAAAACTTCTTAACTCTGTGGGTGACTGAGCATGGGAACAGGTTGCCCAGAGAGGTGGTGGAGTCTCCCTATCTGGAGATATCAGGAACTCTCTGCACACAATCCTGTGCCATGTGCTCTGGGATGGCCCTGCCTGAGCAGGGAGATGGGACCGGATGACCCTCGGTGCTCACTTCCAACCTCTCCTGTTCTGTAATTCTGTGACCTGTTGGAGCAAGTTCAGAGGAGTGACACCAAGATGAGTGGAGGGCTGGATCACCTCTCCTGTGAAGAAGAGGCAATCCCTGACAGAGTTGGGATTGTTTCGCCGTGAGAAGGCTCCAGGGAGACCATGAAGTTTTCCACGGTGAGGGTGGTGAGGCACTAGAACAGGTTTCCCAGAGGAGCTGTGGCTGCCCCATCCCTGGGAGCGCTCAAGGCCAGGTTGCAGGGGCCTGTGGGCAGGCCGGTGTGGCGGAGCTGTCCCGGTCCAGGGTCCGGTAACGCCGCCACGGCCCCGCTCCGGCCCGCCCGATCCGCCGCAGTCCTCGGGGGCGGGGCGGAGCCGCTGGGCCCCGCCCCCTGCGCTCCCCGCCCTCCCGTCACGTGCGTTAGCGACAGGCGGCGGCGGCGCCCATTGGCGGAGGGGCGGGGGGGCGTGGCCGGCGGCCGGTCCGTCAGCTGCGCCGGGCCCTGACAACAAAGGGCTCCGCGGAGGCGGCGGGGCTGGGGCAGTGTGGTGTCGGTGAGTTCGGTGCGCGGTGGGCTGCGGGCACCGGGCGCGCTGCCGGTGGCCCGGGTGCGATGGGCTCCCACCGTCTGAGCGGTGGAGAGCAGCAGCGGCGGAGCCCCCGTTTTCCCGTGCGCCCATCCCGGCTTCTCTCCGCTGGGACGGCGCCGGGGCTGGGGGCTTTTGGTGGTTTCCCGGCTGTGGAGCAGTCGGCGGTCTCGGCCGCCCGCCTCCCGGGCAGCCTCGGCGCGGGGCCGGGGAGGTGCGCAGCCGCCGCGGCTGTGCCGGCTCAGCCCGCGCCGCCGGCCCGGCCGTGTGGAGCCTCCTGGCGGCGGCCGCGGGGCTGCGAGCGGGGGGCGCGGGGCATCGGCGGCTGGCTCCGGCTCGGGGCTGCTGTGGGACCGACTGGGGGGTCGGTTGTGTGCTTCTTTGGTTGTGTTTTCTTTTTGCTTAGCGCATACCTCATCTCCTTTGCTAGGTTAGAAACAAACAAAAACCCATAAAAAAGGAAAAAATACTTTTTTAATTGCAGCGATACTGTATTGTTGACATTCATTCGGTGTGTTATCTGTAACAGCCTCTTAATCATTACTGTCGCTGAGTCAGTTGTTCCCAGGCTTGTGTTTTCCTGCCGCTGACAGCTCCTGACTAAGAACCCGAAAGCCTCTCTCGTCTCTGTCCTGTTTTCCTCCCCGGACGATGGCCCTTGATAGCAGCCTGACTTCTCTTGTGCTGCCTGGCTTGCACAATAGCACACGAGCTATTTTAAAGGCGCTTGTCCAAAAGGATGTCAAAGCATCAACCACTTTCTAAATGTGCCGTGGTTTTAAGCCCAGCTGGAGATGAAACCAGGACAAAATGATTCAGATGTTTCTTTGGATCCTCCTTGGGGTGGGGGAAGGGAAAAATGGGACAAACTGCTTTTGATCTACAGAAAGTCATTTGTGGGTCAAAAGCTGAGGTTTGTTTAGCTCACATTCTCAGAAACAGGGATCTCTCTCTTACTTGCTAGAGGGTAATTATTTTACGTTGCTGTGATGCCTTGGGAGCCTTACTAGAGGAGTGTGAGCTCTCATCTTGCTCCACTCTGCACAGAACAAAAAGGAAGCCTCTGCCTGAAGGTACCTCCAGGCTTGATCTAGGAAAGAGACAACGCACGTGTGTGGGAGTACAGGGAAAGCCAGTGCTGATCACCAGTCACACAATGGCTTACTAGTTAGCCTAAAGAAAAAACAAACTCATTTTTTCATAGGCCTGGTGCCAGGAGAGAGTTAGGGAAGGATGTGGAAGGTGACTGGAAAACTACAGACTTAAACTTCCACTTAGAATTCATTTCCTTATCCATAGTAAGCTCTGCCTATAACTGAAGCACTCAAACCTTCTCAAGAAGGTGCTTGGGAACACTGTAGGCATTTGGCATTTCCTTAGGTAACCCATCCAGGGCTTAGAGACCTTAATGGTTAAATGTGTTTCCTGCTAGTAACCACTGAAAGTTGAACTTTACTGCAGTTACAGCCACTTCTGCTTGCTCTGGGTATAGAAGAAGACAATAAATGTTTGCCTCTTTCTTCACATAATTGACTACTGTTGTAATTTTTTCTTTCCCTCTGTTAAGCTTTACCACTTTTAAAGTTTTGTTGATTTTCTTTAGCCTTGTGGTAATTTTTGTAGCTCTCTTTAGGAGAGACCTAATGTTTCATTTTCAAGTGTGGTCCTTAAAAATAGACCTGTATCACTATTGCAGCTGAGCCTGTTGTTTCTAGCCTTGTGTTTTCCTGCAGTCAGTCATTTCTCTTGAGCATAACTTCTTGAGTTTCACTGTACCTTTTCATATTGCTCCTGAAGACTACTTTAAATTCTGCTCCTCTCCTCCTGTGCTGTCTGAACAAGGAGGAAGCTGCATAAATGTGTACAGGAGCAGTGCTGCATGGAGCAAGTGCTTGTCCTTCCCTTGAACAAGTGGGTGATGGGGTCTGGTTTCCTGGGGTAAGATGACACAGGAGACCAAACAGCTCTTTGGTGTGGCCTTAGAGTTCTAGAGTAAAGCAAGGTATACTGATCTATATATAAATAATATTCTTCATGAGTTGTATCTTTTAGTATCTAGGTTTGTCCATTGTCATGTGTCTTGCTCCCTTTCTGAATGCAGGCAGTCATACTGTCTTACATGGATATATTCTTTCCTATTTAATAATCAAATAGGTATTTAATCAGTAATAATTCTGACCTGCTGTGATGATTCAAATTTTGCTATGGGCAAAAATAACTTGTTGTTAAGTTGGTGAATATTTTTCCTCATGGTTTTTGCTTTTTTACTTGCTTTAATGGCTTCTATTTATTGGCTCATACATAAATATCAAAGGCAGTTCTGGGGTGTTTAAACATTCAATTTCTTGGTACTAATGGGATTTTTCATCTTCACTGCCAAATGCAGAGGTCAGGCTTACAGTGACCAATTACATGTAGATTTAGGGGAGTGAATTGAGAAATAAGCACTGGGTTTAGTTAAACACATCCAATACTTTTCCATGTTCCTTAGATTTAGGATACCTGACTAGTTGGGTGGTTGCTGTGAACACGATCTCGCTGGTAACTCTGTGGTGTACTTTGAACCTGAAGACAGGATGTGCCTTGCTACTGTGTTAACTTGCAGTCAGGGTGGAACAGAGAAGCAGCACTGCTTTGGGCTTCCCGGGTAGCCCTCACCGGGGCTCCTCTGTGTCAGCAGGGGAGGTGAGTTGTCTGGAGCAGAAAACCTGCCCTTGCCCTTGGTGTCTCTCTGACATGGAGGGAGCTGGGGGAGTGTAGACACAAGAGTCCTATACACCTCCTCCCTTAGGAGAAGGGGGGACTGACACCTACACAGACCTTTTTTGGGGGAAGAGGTCTGAGACAAAGGCACTCAGCTCCCAGGAGAGACCTAGGATTGCGGTTTCTGTTTGTATCTAGCTGGGAGGGGGTGGCAGATGCCACTGAAGCTGCCTCTCTTCAGGGAAAAATGTCCACTGGTACCTCAGACTGCACTAACAAGGGGCTTCTAATTTGTTTCTCTAGGGATGTTACCTGTGGCTTTGTCATTAAGATGCTTGTCATCATTTTTTCCAGGTTTCACGTAAACTGTTTACAAGTCATGCTTTCGCATGTCCTGTACCTAAGCTGATAAAGCATCTATGCACTTTAATCTCAAGTCTGTGCCACTCTGCTAGTAGTGTGAGCTGTGCCTTGAACCTTGGATATAAAGACCTACCAGCCAAAGTCTTGTTCCTGCCTTAGTAATGTTCCAGAGGTTAAATAACATGCTCATGGGAGAGATTGATAGCTTGTCCAGCCAAGAGCCAGAGTTCAGTGAGAAGGAAGATGACGAGTGGATTCTGGTTGACTTTATAGGTAAGATGTCTGTCAGACATGAGTTCTGCCTTTGTCTTGCTCTGGCTCTTGCTTGTCTTACTTCCATGTGAACAAACCAGCATATTGGGGAAACTTTATATCAGCAAAACCAGTGTGGGATTAGAGTGTAGGGCGTCTTCCAAACAAATATTACGTGCTGTGTAAATTGGTGAGAAGAATGATGTCAGGTTTATAAGCCTGACACAGGCTTCAGCAGAACCGCTTGTACAAATAAAACCTATTTGACTTATTTCGCAATTATATAGCTTTACTGATAATGTTGTTTCACATGTCTAACGTGGCTTGTCTGGGAGCTCCCTTTTCCCCTCCCCTGCTTTTAAAAAGTAAAAATTTGTGTATGTGCTAACAGGGCTCTTTTTTAAATTTTTCTCTTTTTTTTATTATTATTTCATATCCCGTTTCTGGCTGTGTGCAACTGTGTTGTTTTTGACCTTCTGCTATCACCATCATCCATGGTTCCTCTCCACTGATGACTGCTCCCCTGCAGCAGACACTTGCACTAATTGCTCCGTGGAGGAAGCAGACCTCATTGAAGCATCGGCCACGGACAGCTCGCCCGTCTTCTCTTGTTTATCATCTCCTCTGGAACACTTGCCGGAGGCCAGCGAGTCCTGCTTCATCCAGTTTGAGTCATGTCCTATGGAGGAGAGCTGGTTTATTACCCCTCCCCCATGTTTTACTGCAGGTGGATTAACCACTATCAAAGTGGAGACCAGTCCCATGGAGAACCTCCTGATAGAGCATCCCAGCATGTCTGTGTATGCTGTCCACAACACCTGTCACAGCCTTAATGAGGCTGCATGTGGGGATGAGGAGTTTCACAGCCCAGGTAGCCCCAGGTATGTCTGAATTCTCTTGTCAATGAGCTCTGGTGCTGAAAATATCTGGTTTCTCCTTGATCAGCTTAGACACTTAATACTGAATTTTCCAGCTTATTTCAGGGGAGGTGAATGAAGCATGAGTACCACACAAGGTGTGTAGAGTGGTCAGGTGCCTGCCTGCTGAGAAAAGTGTTGTACAAGATGGCAGTGTTGGCAAACAGCTGGGTATGCATTTTGGCACTGCAGTGAATATTCATGGAGCCTTGTTACTCCCTTGCAGAGTATGTTCCAGTCCTGTGTAGACTGGTGGCAGTTGACTGTATAGCCAGTAATGTAGATATGAAAGCACTTTGCCCCCTTCACAGCTATGTGTGTTTTTCATAACTGCTAGTCAGTATTCTTTCAGTCACCTTGTGAAACACAGAACTTTAATGATCCTGACAGGGAAGTAGCTTTGGGTTTAGGTGAGAGGCTTCTATGTTTTGTTTTTTTTATTCCTCAACCTAGTGATAAGGACAGGATTAAATTTGCCCGCAAGTGGCTTGTGGAGCAAAAGTAAACTGAAAGATTCCACAAAGCTTAGTCCCCTCAATGTGAAAAATCTGTGCTGCAACCTTCTACTTTTAGCAAAGTAAGTGCTTTTGGGTCCTGAAAATCTATCCATGGGGTTTATTGTAGAGGCATGTTTGCCATGCCCTGCCATTCTTTGTTGTTGGTGTATGCAGCTGTACCAGTACAGTGAACATGGCTGTATGCAAATAGAGGATTCCTTTGCCATTATGACCCCGTGTGTTCATTGGGTTTGAAATAATTGGGTGTTTTGTGAATCCCAGTTAGTAACAAAGACTGACTTTTTATACTATCTAGCTCTTAAGTTTAGAAACAGTAGTACTAAAGAAAAAAAAATCACAGTATACTGAGCTTTGATATACAGGAAGAAATTAGTGTAGTGCTTGAGTTGCTGTAGGTAGATGCCTATTGACTTGTCCAGTCAGCCCCTTGCCATATTTAAGTTTTTACCTCAAAGAAACAGGTGACTTTGAAATGACATACTGCTGTATAATGTTGAAATATAGTGCTGATACTATTGATCTTGGTGTGGGATTTGTATAATTATTTGGGGAGGACAGTTTATGATGTTAAGCATCAGGGTCTAGTTTAAGTTAAATTGGAGGAAACTATGAGCAGACAGCACCTTTAAAATGAAAGTCTGAAGGAATCTGCAAGAGTGCTGTAGGCTGCAGGACATGCCCTAGCACTTTATCAAAAATACAATTTTCAGTGAATAGTAACACTCAAAAGTTGGATACTGACTTTTCAGTCACTTGACCTGGGGATCCTGATGTAAATTCAGCCAGAGAGGGATCCTGTCTTGTGTTACACAGCACAGTTAAGCTGCTTCAGTGCCTGGGGAAGCTAGAGGTGTGCTCTTCAGCTAGTGTGTAATTAAGTTTCTTCACACTGAACTCTGTGCTGTTGCTTTATCAGAGGATCCAGGCTCTTGTACAGGATATTTTGTGTGATAACTGGGGTGAGACTTAGGTCTAAAGCTGAGGTAGACTGCAGAATTTGGGAACATTGGTTACACTAATACTAGAGTAAGTTTCAAAAGCTGTTATGAAGTCTCTAGTGGTTTAATGGTTGGCCATTTAATATTGTAGGGCCAAGAAAAGCTGCTTAAGGCACACTGGCACAGTAAGTACTACTGTTTTGGAACAGTGCTTTTTGTTTGATCAGGCTGCTAGCAACACTGCTTCCTCTAGAGCCTTGTCTGCCAAAGCAATACTGGTTTTAGGACTAACCTTTGTGCCAAATGATTACTTGATCAAGCCTAACTACATCTGCTTTAACAAGCCAAAATGCTAAGTGCAGAAAAATTACTGAAATGATTGGGTTGGGTGTCTGAAGCCTTTAATGTTTGTTGTGAGCTGTGGTTGTGTAGCACGATGAGCAGGACACTCCTGCTTTCTGGCAAAGTAGACACTGGAAGCACAGCAGCAAGTGCATGTAGTGATGGTCTGGCTTAAGACACAGCCCCTCTAAAACTGCATTTTGACAATGTGATGGAGTCTCATCAACCCTGTTCTCTCAGTGCATGGAGCTCACTAGTACCAGCCTACCAAATGCACCTAAGGTACTGAAAGGCTGCATTTTGGAAGAACATGTGGATGTTTAGCTCATTCAAACCACCTCTGCTATCCCAGTGTCACTTTGATGACAAATAAAGTGTTGGTTTGCAAAGCATTGCTGGAAGAGTATTTGATAAGAGGGGGGGAAAAAAGCTAAAGTATTTTCAGCCAGCAAGTTTAAACCAGTTTTTCTCCTTTTGTGGAGGAAATCTCTTTTTTCATTTTAAATTCCTTTCAAAGCAAAAGGATGTTGTATAAACTTCCCTATTTGTCAGATTAGTCATATTTTTATATAACAAAACCACAGCAGTTTGTATTAACAGTTGCTGCCCTTTGCTAGTTAAGGGTATACTTAGGAAATACAGGTTGCAATAACTGTGGTGTGGCTTTCTGCTTCTGTAATAGCTTTCCCTAGAAAGGCTTCACTTGCAGTTCCACCTCCAGCACTGTTGGATGCACTAAGGGATTGCTCCACAAGGAAAATAGTAGTCCCATATTTGCAGGTACCCTCATGTAAATTAAACTGGTGTAATCTGCAAAGAATGTCTTTACAAGGCACTGTGAATTGATCTGTGCTTGTTACTCACTTTTTGTTTGGTATTTCAAGTGCTAGGTATAGGATAATAACCTGTGAAAAATAGGGGAAGATCAGCATGTCACATATGACTGTTCTGCAGTCTCTACTCTTCAGTCATTCATATCAAACTACCCAAGGATCCAAAAGCAAGATTGGGATATTTGAAATAAGAAAAAAGTAGAAGGGAGGGAGTATTCCCTTGATGACAAGGAGTATTTCCCTCCAGTGTGCAGTGGGAGGAGGCAGAAGAGTTTACTTCATGTCAGGCACCTGCAGCCTCCCAGAGTAAGGCTACAAAGGGTACCGTGGGCATGGCAGACCTGACTTGTGTCTACAGAGACATCATACAATAATTGCTAGTTAAGCTCTTCCAGAAGAGACTTTATATGACAAAGTCATGCTAATGTTGAAAGACAGATTTCCCAAGAGACCTCTTGCTCATGCCTGGGCAAGTTCCTGGTCTTGCAGCCATCTTTCCTGGGCACCACTGACCAGTTGGCAGCTGGTTGTTGGGCCCTGAGTGGGGAGAGAGAAGGCAAGAAACTCTGCTGCCACTGGTCTCACACCAGTTCTAGCACTCAGATTAGGGTTTTGCTTTATTTTTAAAAGGGCTAGGCTATTTTTAACTTTACTTTGGAAGTTTCAGGAAATGCCAGTGATTGTTCTGTCAAGTAGGGAAGTCCTTCTTCAGTCGCTGCTTGCATAGGCTGCTGGTTTGTTTTTCACTAGTGCATGATGAAGCAAGGGTTTGCCAAAACTGCTGACTCACTGCTCATGACATTTAGGGGGCTGGTTGAGGAAAAATCTGTCTGAGTTATTTTTCATGTGTGTCACAACTGTTCTACCTTTCCATTCCTCTGCATGAACATTGTTTGTTTGGATTTACTTGTGTGGCTGGCAATTGAAATGCACTTTTGTTAGTGTGCTTCTGTTTTCAGGCTGAACCACCAGTGTTCAAGATGATTTTAAACCAAACTTTGCCTAGTGGAAAACTCTCAAGTCTTCTAAAGCTGGAGCAGTGTGACACACATTGCCTTACATGTCTGATCTCTATTGCATCTTGGGCTTAGGGAGGTGGTGTGGGGAAGAAAGAGCACAGTAGAGCAAGAGCCAAAAGTCCTAAGGCTGTTGTGGGGCCCCCACACAGAAAGTGATTTAGCAGCACTACATGTTACTTACCGGTGTGGTAAGTGGCTTGACCTTACCTCAGCCCAATTCTCTGTACAGTAGAATGAGGGTTCCCTTTTGCAGTGCTGGATGCTGATATCCCTGTTCTCCCCTTTGTTTTGCTTGTCCTTCCAATGCGCCTCAGTGGTGACTGATACCTGCTTGTTACATTTCTAGACAGGAGGCCCGAAATGAAACAGGACAGCGTGTTCACTGCTATGTCACGGCTCTTGCTACTAGTTCAACTTTTCTGGAAAAAAGCAAGAGCTTTCGTCCTACCCACTGGATAAAAGAACATAATGAAAGACACTGTCTCAACAGGAACAGTCTCCGTCGCCAAAACCTCGCCAGGGATTGCCACTCTCGGCAAATCAAGCACAACGGACTGTTTGTTCACCAGCCTTGCCAGCGTCAGTTCAATTACTGATGGCTCTTGTGGTTTTAATCTATGGCCTAATTGTTTCTTAGGTTGCTTTTGTTTTCATGTGTAGGTAAGTGTGGTCAATCTGAAGCTGATTGTCAATCCCTCGAACACAATCATAACTAGTGTTGCATTATTTTCAAAAGACACATAAATCTCCGAACATCTTGCATCAAGTTCTAAATGTTGATGTTAAATATCAATGTCTTGGAAGCCTATCAGTATGATAGTTTGTGTGCTGTTTTATAAACTTTGATGTATAGATGGGTTCTTAGTTGGTATTTTAAAGAAATTTAACTGAGATGGAAATCAGTTACATTTTGCATTAATCAAAACGAAGTTAGAAAATTTGAGGTTAGCCATGTGCTTTAATGACCAGTACTTGACAGCTTGTGTATCTGTCTGTATTCAGCATATATGATTACTTTCTGACAAGGAAATTCTACAGCTGCCAGTGGATATTACATAGCTGTGCTGAGCTGTTTCAAGAAGGACATCTCATCTAAATTCCTAGAACTTACTTGTGTTAGTGGGGGCTGTGTAGGTGTGCTGGGTACTTGGTATGGATATTGAAAGAGGGTTAAATGTCCCACCAACATTGTTGCAGTACAATATGGCACCAGTGTTACAGATGTAGTACCTCACAGTGGAGTGGGAAGAAAAGTGAACCCTTGGGTAACATGCAGATGCACAACACAGAACTGAACTGGGCTTTACCAGATAAAGTTTGAGTTTCTCTAACTATTTCTGTCTTTGAAGCATGTATCTCCCCTACCCTATCTCATTTAATCTCTAGTCTAGTTAAAGGAGAAAGATGGTGGATTGACCATTCTTTTAACCTATCAGTAGCTGACTGCTCTTCAAAGAAGTCAGACTGATAGACAGCTATTTCTGAGCTACAAATGGCTATTAGATTGTCTCATATTCACAGATTGAGAGTAGCTCAGAAGTCACTAGAAGGAAGCTTTTATTCAAAGTTCTCCTAATTTTCTCTCTTTTTCTCTATGAAAATGAAATCCAAGTTAATGGGGACTGGAAATGAAGGGCAGTGTGAGGTAGGGGGAATTGGATGCTGAGCTAAATACAGTGATAACAGTATATAAAAATTGACCAATCAGCTGTGGTTGTTCTCCTAGCCCACTGGAGGCAGAAGGACTTAATAGCAATTCCATGGGCCAACAGGAAAGAAAAGCCATTCAAAACTATCAAGTAGTTTTCTTAAGAGCACTGAGCAAGATGTTTTGGGAGTTGGCAGGCAGTGCCAACTACAACTACAGGTAAAGTTCACCTGTTAACAAAAACTGTGTTACACAGCAGCCAGTGGTATGCTGGACCCTGCTAGATCAGTCTGGGAAGTGGATTGAATGGGAATGGACGTAAGGAAGCAGAAATCTTCAGTGAGAGAAGGGGGGGGGCAACCAAAAGTAAGTTTTATCTTCCTTTCTGCCAGTGCTTAATGTGATTTGCTGTTTTCCCTTGTGTTTAGTGCCTAGGGCATTACAGTGTTAACATTACACTCAGCTGTGTCTTCCAGTAGTCCTTACACAGAAATTGGTACAAGGAGTCATGTGAGGAGTCCTTGAAATAAGACAAGGTCGATAATGTGAATTGTTCCAGACTTAAGAAGTATTTAAATTCAGCCAGATGCTTCAATTTCACTGAAGCAAAGCCCCAGCAATTCAAATTGACCTTGATGTAGTGGTACTGTTGCGTGTTCTGCAGCTGAAATTGTTGTGGAACCTACTTAGCATACAGGGAACAGCATTCATAGCCTATGTTTCGCTGCAGATGTCCTGCTTCACTGCAATTAGGATTGTCACAAAGGGATGTTGAAAATAATTAAATGTACAAAAGCAAGAGGTGCTTTCCTGGATACGCTAGTTTTTGGGGTTTTGTTGTTTGGTGATTTTTTTTTTTTGACAAGTTGAATTCACATGGACACTGAAAGAAAACAAAATTGATCAACACCATGATTTTCCAAAAGAGATATTTTGTTACTGCTGTTTTAGCAGTATGTGCCCATGTCCATACAACAATTCTCATGTGGTCCAAATACTTTGGTTTATCTGCAAATAGCTGTAGTTTCACCAGTCTCTTATCTGTTCACAAGTACTCTTACTTGCCTCAGATTATCTACCTACCTTTATCACTCCAACTTTTTGTCTAGCTTAAACTTCCTTATCCTTGCTGCCAACTTTCTAGCTCAGGAAAATTCTTTGCTTTCCTGTATTAGTTTTCTTTATATAAAAGTAACTTCTTTCCTTCAGCTTTAATTTTCTTAAAGTGCAATGAAGGAAGATGTAGTCTCCACCTCCCTGTGTTGGAAGGAGTGAGTAATCCCTTAACTCCTAATGGGGAGGTGGAGCTGAGAGTATAAGGCTCCCAGGCATTAAAATGAGAGCCTTGGTCTGTTCTTCTCAGTAGGCAAGTAAATGCAACTTTAGACTGCTCCTAGAATTGGGAGATACTGATCTTTTTATACTGCATTACTAGATGACTTTCTGGTGATGAAAACCTATATCTTTCAGGATATAAACTATTTTGTTGCACAAAGCTGTGCTTCTCAATTTGTAATATTGGAACCATATTATTGTGTGAGATAGTACTACATCAATGGCTTTTTGTTAATTTGTTTTACGTATTTATGTTGGTCTAGCCCTGTTTTGTGCCTGGAGCTATTGGGCAATTAGATTTGTTTTGGTTTACTGTTTTAATAGTGAGCTGTGTGGCTTTTTATATGGTTTTTTGAATTGTATTAAAGTGTGTGTTTTTTCTTGTAAAAGTGGAGGCCTTGCACTGTCTCATACTGATTGATATTCATGAATCTTGCGAAATTGTATTTTCATATGTATTGGTCAATGGACAGATTTGCATTTTAAACTGTGCCTTCTACACAGCAAACTTGAAGATTCAAAAGGGACATTTCAGTTGGGATTAATACTGTACATCAGTCTATGCATATATGGCAGCTTCTCTCCAGAGCCACTTCTCTATTTGTAGCAGTCCTTTTGATATGGAAGAATCTGTGGCTCTTATTTTTAATAGATTAACACAAGCTGAAAACAGACAAAATACAGCACTTTGCCAAAAAAGGTAGCATTGCTTAACCAGTGTGTATTTACTAAAGTGATCTTCTGTATTTTGTTTTCATGGTGCCTTCTGCGCACTGTGGGGAAACGTGATCTTAACTCTCAATAAAAAATGGCCTATTAAAAGTTGTCAGTCTGTTCCTTAATGTTATAGGTTAATGAAAATCCAAATGTCTGAGCATCTTGTGCAGGTGGCAGGTCCAATGTGTGTCTCACTGCTAGCTCTAGTACAGCAGTTGCTCTGGGCCTTGGCTTGCATTGCTGATCCAGTGACATCCAAGCAGTGTTGCACATCTCTGCTGACTGCTGCCTTTCCTGACCAACATGCAGGAACTCTGTAGGTGAGCAGGACAGAGATAAAACCTACATGAAATGTGCATTGTGGGGGGGATTTTTTTCTGTAACTTAGCTGAACCTTTCTTGTTTCAGCTCATACCCCACTGCCTATCATTGCCCTGCCATGCACCACCATGAAAAAATCTGTGTGGAAAGCTGCTGGTATAGGTATCCTATGAGGGGGCAGAGACCCTGTGCAGATGCCTAGGGATGGGGTTAGGGAAGGCAAAGTAAAGCCACTTGCAGCTGAACTTGGCAAGGGATGTGGAGGGGTCCAGAATCCATGTGACAAAGGACATGGAGAAGGCTGAGGTACTCCATGTCTTTGCCTTGGTGTCTGCTGGAAGACCACCCTTTGGGACTGCAGGCCCCTGGCACATGTGGGAAATGTGAAAGCAATGAAGATCAACCCTTGGATGAGAAGTCTCAAGGTAAGAAAGGCTTGAAGAAATGCACCATACAGATGCACCTGTAAGTGGTGAAGGAGCTGGCTCAGAAACTCAGAGCTTGCTGGGCTGCAGCAGGCAGGGTGTTGACAGCAGGGAGGAGGAGGTGATGTTACACCTCCACCCTGGGCCAGGGAGACACATCTGAATGGCATGTCCAGTGCTGAGCTCCCACTAGGAGAGGGCATGGATGTGCTAGAGGGTATCCAGCAAGAGGCCAGGGCATAATAGGATTGAGGACAGAAATAACCAGGAGAGGATGAGAGCTGGATTTGTTTAGGCTGGGGAAGAAAAGTCAGAGGGGATCTTGTCAAGGTATATAAATAACTGAAGGGGGCAATAAAGGCAACAGAGCCAGATTCTTTTCTGGTGGTGCCTAGTGAAAGGACAAAAGGCAGTGTGTGCAAGCTGAAACGCGGGAAATCCTTGGATGTAAGAAATGGGCTCAGTGATCTCCATGTTGTTATGGCTTTTTCTGAAACTATATGAATAAGTGGGGATTTTTGCCACCAGTCATTGGGGATCCTTGATCTCTGCGGCTTTCCAATTTATGGAGATTGGCCTTGAAATGACATCAGCCAGCTCTCTCAGCACATTGGATACAGGCTTCCATGGATTTGTATGAACTGAGTTGTTAGAAGTAGTTCCTGATTTAATTCTCACCCACCAAACAATCAGGGTGACAAAGTGATCTATTTAACTGACAGCAGTGAAAAGGTATTTGTGCAACAAGGCATCCATATTCCCAGAGCAAGAAGTGAGTAAAATCTCTCCCTTTGAAATGTAGATTTTGTCCTGTACATCTATCAAAGCAGCAAGTCTATGCTGAGAGCTGTACAGTATTCTTCAGGAGAAGGTTTGATCAATTATGCTTGTATTATTGTATCTATGCAGATAACATAACATAGTTAAGCTGATAGTATTCCTTTTGGGGGTGCTTATTTCAGACCCGATGCAACTTTTAAAATTTAGCTTGGACAGTCTCCAAAACACCATGAACTAGTGTCTTTTGTAACTTCTCTGTGCTGAAGCAAAAATGTTTGCATGAAGGGTTGCATTAGTGTAACTATTGGCTTAAGTTCTCACTTTACACTCTAGATTTCTGTCTATATAAATCCTTGTATGTCTCTGATACAGTGCCTTCATTGGTGTTAAATGTCAGAGAGAACCATAATTACTACTCTGGTACCTCATCAAGTAATTTGGTATCTGCTTTCTTTGTTCCATTGACTTCTGGTGCATGTTTATAGCCACAAAATATCGTGACTGTTATTGAGTGATACTTGCAAGGAAGGTTTGGAACATGTAGGAATGACTCATCAAAAGAACATGCTGATGCTGCTGTGGCACTGTTGTTCCCATGGTGTGGTCATGATAAATCAGTCTTAGTGTAAATGAGACTGAACTGAGACTTAACAGGATACCTTTTACAGCCAGGTTTTTGTTGATGAAAATACTGTTCTGGAGTTACTGCTGTATAACTGATACTTCAGAAGAGTCTTGACTTGTTCAAAAGTTCTGTGGGCAGACTGATAGCTGAACACTCAAATAGCTTAATAAGGCAAGTTAACTATTGCAATTTCATGAGTAACCTAGGGAAAAGGAATAATAACAACAACAATAACAAAAAAAACCCCCAACAAATAGATAAGAGTAACAAAACTAGGGTAGTGTCCAGGAGCAGGCTTCAGATCTCAGCTTGCAGACATGGGCTGTGCCATAGGTCTATACTTTTTCCTCTATAGATTTCAAATTGTGTCCAAGCAAGGGGACTTAGGCAATATAATAAAAAAATACCATTATGCACAAGAATAAATCTATCAGAGTGCTAAAAGTATTGTAGATTCCCTGAAATGAGGCTGTACAGAGAATCAGCAGCAGAGAGAGGTGGAAAAGGGAAGGGAGGCCTCAGGCTTTTGGGATATGTGGTTATCATCCAAGAGCTGTCAATTTTTGCAAGGTAAACAAAGGAGATGAGATCTTGATCAAGAAAGGGAGGACTGACATGGGCAGAAGCATCCCCTTGTCTACTCCTAGCAGTGAATTTCAGTTCTAGCTCTTCTATCTATGGGACTGAGGAATGATTGATGGGCCAGAGCCAGTGGTCTGAGATACAGTAAGGCCAAGTGCTGGATCCTTCATTGGATCACAATAACCCTGTGCAGTGCTGCAGGCTTGGGGAAGAGTGGCTGAAAAGTGGCCTGTGAGAAAAGGACCTGGGGATGCAGGTTGACATGTTTGGATGGTTACAGGCTCTTTGGGAGGGTTAGACATGCCAGAAGAGGTAGGGGTTGGCACTGTATGTAATGGAAGGGTTGGAATGTGTGGAGCTCACAGCTGGCAATGGCACAGTTGAGGGACTCTGGATAAGAATCAAGGGGCAAACAAACAATGTGGATGTCATTGTGGGAGTCTACTATAGAGCTGTCAGGCAGGACAATGACATCAACAAATTATTCTTTGAAGAGCTAAGGGACACTTCCAAATCAACTGCTCTTGTCCTTATGGGGAAATTCAACCTGACAGAAATTAACTGGGAGCGTCACACAGCTGGTACAACCTGGGCCTAAAAGATGTGGACAACAATTTTATGGAACAGGTACTGGGGGAGCTGATTCAGAAAGGTGCCCTCCTGGATCTGCTGTTTGTCATCAGAGTGGATCTTGTGAGCAATGTGGTGACTGATGCCATCTTGGCCACAGCAACTACAAAGTGATTGAATTTAAAGTCTTTGTTGACAGGAGGAAAAGTGCAGCAAAACCTCAACTCTGGACATAAGGAGAGCAGACTTTAGGCTGCTCAAGGACCTAGTTAGAAAAGTCCCCTGGGAAATGTTTCAGTAGTGCTGGGGTCTGTCAGTGCTGGTCACTTTTTAAACATCAGCTCCTAAGGGCACAGGAGCAGCAATTCCCCAGTGTCAGAAGTCAAGCAGAAGGCTGGCTTGGTGAACAGGGATCCTCTTTTGGGTCTAAGGCAAAAAAGGAAGGTGTGTGCCCTGCGGAAGCAAGGTCAGGTGACCTGGAGGAATAAGAGATGCAGCTTGCCACTGTAGGGAGAAAATTCATGCAGCTAAACATCAGCTGGATTGGAAGCTGACCAGAAAAGTGGGAGACAGTAAGAAGTTTTTTCAAATACATTAATGGCAAAAGGCAGCATAGAAATAACATCACCTGTTACAGGATGTGGATGGGCACCTCACAAACAGGGACATGGACAAGGCAGAGGTGCTTAATGCATTCTTTGCCTCTGTCTTCAACACAGATGATGGACCAAGGGGGTCTCAGTGCTCTGAGCTGGAGGACCATGGCTGGGAGAATGAGCAAATCCCAGCTGACCCTGAACTTGTGCAGGATCTACTCCTCCAGCTGGATCCCTAAAAATCTATAGGGCCTGATGGGATTCATCCAAGAATCCTCAAAGAACTAGCTGATGTCATCACAAAATCTCTCTTGATGATTTTTGAACTGGGAATCTAGAGAGGTCCCAGCTGACTGAAGGCTGATGAACATTGGTCTGATTTCAAGAAGGGCAAGAAGGAGAACCCTGGAAAATACAGACCTGTCTGTTCCACTTTAGTGCTGGTAAAATAATGGAAAAGATTATTCTGGGAGGTATTAAAAAACACCTTGAGGTCAACACAGTCATTGGTCACAGCCAGCACAGCTTCATGAGGAGAAAGTTTTGCTTATCAAACCTGACTTCAAACCTGACTTCCTTCTGTAACAGAGTAACCCACCTTGCTGATCTAGGAAAGCCTTTTTGGACTTCAGCAAAGCTTCTGATACTCTTTCTCTCAGGATCCTTCTGGACAAAATGTCCAGCACACAGCTGGATAAACACATCATGTGATGGGTGAGCAGCTGGCTCAGGGGTCAGGCACAAAGGGTGACAGTGAGTGGGGTGACACCAGGCTGGGGACCTGTAACTTGTGGGGTTCTGCAGGGCCCCATCCTCAGCCCAGTTCTCTTCAACACCTTTATTAACAACCCGGACACAGTGCTTAAAGAAATCCCAAGTAAGTTTATCGAGGACAGCAAACTGGGAGGAGCTGTTGACTCTCTTGAGGTCAGGGAGGCCCTGAAGAGAGAAGTCAACAAGAGAGATGGGCAATCACCACAGTATGTAGTTTAACAAGGACAAGTGCCAGATTCTGCATGTGGGGTGGAGCAACCCAGTGTAAGGACAGCCTGGGGAACGAGAAGCTGGAGAGCAGCACCACAGAAAGGGACCTGGGGGTCCTGCTCAGTGGAAAGGTGAATGTGAGTCAGCAGTTGGCAGCCAGGAGGGCCAACCCTGTCCTGGGGGCATCAGGCACAGCAGCACCAGCCA